GGCCCTACAGGAACTCATAATATGGGACAGGTCGAAAAGTACCTCGATCTCTGGGGGACTTTTAAGCTTTGAAAACTTCCTCAAAGTGATATACCCATGTGCAGAAACCCCAGAGGACAGTCTCCACTAATCAGGGATAAAAGGGAACGACTCTGATTTTAAGTGCACTATTGGCGTTCTGGGTTACTGTTAGAGAACAAGGGTAAACAGCCGAAAGTGTCCGTCAATTACAAATGAATTCCTGCCGTTTGTATCAGAGTGCGAGCTACAGTAAGGGCGACGTGCGCTATGACAATTTTGACTTATACGTCACGATGAGACCCGAGTGAGACTCATTCGTCTTCCCTAATCTTATTACCACTCAGAGTGAGCTTGGCTCCACACGGTGGAACCTTCGATGAGTTGTTTGCAGTTATGACCGGGTTGTTCAGAAGCGTTCAGGACATGGCGTCGAGAAAGCTACAGTGGGGAAGGCGCTTGCTCGGATAGGTTATAAATCAAAAGCGTCGAGATTTTCAGGCTTCTGAAGAAGACGAGAAGGTCGAAACGTTAGACCAGGAAAAGAAATCCATCTAACAACTTCGTTCGACAAAAATATCTGAACCTTCGACATCACATGCCGATGTTACAAAAGGGACAATGTGGAGATTTCTCTTCCTAGAGTCTTTTTAGTTAGCGTGTCAAAACCATACAGTTTTTGGGTCAAATTTCCGCCCTTCTCGAAACTGTGAGTAGGTCGCAGTGTTTTGTTGGGGTGCACATTATTTTTACATTTCTGTATAATTCTTTTTTAGGGTACATCTATCGACTGAAAGAATACGAACGCCGGTTTGCTCCGAAGTACATATACTGGATAGTCTTCTTTATTCTTATAGCTCCTACAACTCTGGGTTCATTCCTTGCCTACTCGAAAAGCAAGACCAAATATGAGGAGCTTGCTAGGAAAAAAATCTAGTATAGAGGGTCTTGGTTTTTTTTGGTTGTTTTCTTTTCCAGGAAATGTTTGATGTTGTAAGTGGGACCAATGTTCCCGCTCCCTCGCCTACCAGAGCGGGTTGCTGACGTTTGAATTTTCTGTAATGTCAGACATATTGCTGTTAATTCATTTTCTGGAATGAAAGTTGTTGCGTTTCCAAATATCACATTATCTTTGCGTAATTTAATACAAACCGGCTACGAACTGTTCTGCAACGAAGGAAAAGTGTGTTTTGATGCACAGCTACTGTATATCCAGCAAGAGACTGCAATAA